CTCCACCCTTTCCCCTCCCACCCACCCACACACACATTCTTTCTCCCCATAAAATCGATATTCTCTTGGGAAACACTCCAGGCCGAATTCAAAGTGGAGACGGGGAGCCCTCCCTTTTTCTGTCATGTCTGGGCATCAGGGCATCCACGTCCCTCGAGGATTCTTTTCTTCTTGGTCTTGCTATGCGCCAAGCGGTTCGTGTCAAAGTCGTGTGAAGGGGGCATTTGCCACACAGCCTGAGGAGGTTGCGACTGCTACTTTGAAAGAAAAGAAAGATGGCTTCAGCCCAGAATGGCAAGTGCTACCGGAGACAGAGAGAGTTTCCATTCCGAGGGCGAGGGTCCCTGGGCTCTGGGCACGAGTCCCCACATGCGGTTTAGACACACGGAGTCTGTGGATCAGCCAGGGTCACGGCCGGGGTCACGGCCCATCTCACTGGCCTGGTTGGCAGAAGCTCCTGGGGACAGAGGACAGAGGGTCTCAGGAACTGTCCACTCCGGGCGGGCCACACGCGTGGGAGCAAGAGTTGCAGCCAGCAGACTCAAGCAGGCCTTGCAATCCTGTGCCTCTCTCGGATGAGGAAGCCGAGGGTCTTGGAGATCTTACAGGACCCCTCCAAAGCCGTGAAACCAGTAAGAGCCAGAGCCGGGGCTCCAGCCCGCCAGTCCCATTCCATGGCCCAGAGCCTCTGAGGCCCAGAGGAGGCCACTGCTGGCCTGCAGTCCTGGAGAGGGTTCTGGGGTCTAGGGGAGGGGCTTGACTCGGCCCCACTTCCTGGGGGCTGCCCACCAGATGAGTAGAGAAACTAGAGCCTGGCCAATCTGGGTTCCAAGACTGGCGAGGCACTCGGGTCTCAGTTTCCTCCTCTACAGCATGGGCATAGCTACCTTTCAGAGTTGCTGGGGCATTGTGTAAGATGCTACACGGTAAGTGCTCAGTGAACAGGCATGGTTATAATTTCTTCTTCTTATCAGCCTGGCACCAAACGCACTAATTAATCCAGCTGTGGAAATTCAACCTCCGAGAGGTTAGGCAAGTTTCCTAGGATTACACAGCAAGCAGGTGGCAGAGTTGAGCTTTGAGACCAGATATCCAAGATTAGGTGGGCTGGTTTGATTCTGCGTGGCATCCTGACCACCAGGGTGACCCTCGGCCAGTTACTGAGCACGCCTGAGACTTGGGGTTCGTGTTTCTAAAGTGTCCATGAGAACTCCTACCTCAAGGCGTGACTGTGAACTTAATCAAGCTCCCATGAATGGGAGTGAGTCATCACCCAAGATGCAAACCAGGATGGGGAGGTGGTCACCTACAGCCACATGGTGGGGACCTGCTTTCTGCCCTTGAGGAAAAAAGTCCTTGAAGGGTCAAAGAAACTCCCAGAATGACTGTCTTGTGTGGGAAGGCACAGGCCGGAGCAGGGGCCAGAGTTACCAAGAGAGCTCAGCGGGGGATGCCACGCCCCGGCTGGGGACAGAGAGGGGGCAGTCAGGGGAGACTTCCTGGAGGTAGAGAGATGGGAGTTGGGGAATATTTGCGTCACAAGGCCATCACTGTCCCTGCTTGGCTTGAGCCAGAGTTCCTCCAACTCGGCACTGTTGACTTTTTAGGCTGGGCCGTTCTTTGTGGAGGGGGCTATCCTGTGCTTTGTAGGCTGCTACCCGTAGCACCCCCACCCCCAAGTCGTGACAACCAAAGATATGACGGTGTCAAGTCCCCGGGGTACAGCGGCCCAGCAAGAACCTCTGGGTTAAGCCCACGCAATGAGGCTGCGCGTTTGCGCACCCACCAGCAAGCTCCCCCAAGCATTGCCCCTTAGGTCCAGGGTCATTCACTTCCCCAGCCACTCGCCACTTATTCATTCACTCATGCGGCTGGTCACTCTCGGCAGTGACGTTCCCAGGCCGTGACCACCCTCTCTCATCGAATCTGAGACGCGAATCTTTCCCACCTTCCGACGTCCCTCAAGGTAAGACGCGTCTTACGGCCTCCGTCCACCAGGCCCAGGATCCAGGGAGGCCCCATCGCCTGAGCACGCGGCTGTCGAAACATGCAGACTGGGTGTCGGCGGCTTGGTGGAAACATCCAGAAACAACAGAGGAAGCGAGAAATTCTGCATCACCAGCACTCTCAGGAAGATGTTCCGGGAAATACCTTCTCACTGGTTGCATTTACATGCTGCTTCTTTTTAAAAATGTATTTCTTGCTTTCTGTTTATAATAGAAATGAGTTCTCGCGATGTTCCCCAGGCTGGTCTAAAACTACGATCCTCCTGCCTCGGCCTCCCAAAGTGCTGGGATGTCGGGCATGAGCCACCACACCAGGGCCACATGTATATTTTTCCTCTGAGGTATGCACAGGAATGATACATGGTGACAAATCAGTTCTAACTACGTCTAAAAGAGGCTTTAGTGAGTCTGAAATTAAAAGGTAGAAACATCACATCAGCCTGGCAGGCCGTGTTTCTTCTTTTAATTCCATACAAAGTTGCACTTGAGTCAGGGTGTTGGCTGTCTCTGCTGCTGTGGGCTGAGACGTGTAGAGGAACAGTCTGGAAGCAGCCCCTGCCTACACGGGACCTGCAGTCCGGTGGGGAACTGCACGTGGAGGAGTAGGGATTGGAGCCCCCTCCCTGGCCCCTCCTGCTCGTCCAGTCCCCTGGAGGATGGGTGACCACAGGCAGAGGTGGAGGGCTGTGTGCCCAGCCCATCTGGGAAGTGGTAATGTTTGGCCTTGAACTTGGAGCCATCTCCCCTTCAGAGCCATCACAGTCCTCCCTGGGACCTGATTGGCTTGGAAGCCAGTGAAGGTGCCTCTCACTCAAGCTGAAATCAGATTCGAGGACAGAGGCTGAGTTTCCATATGCGGCCCTACTGGTCACCAGCTGGACAGAGAGCTAGCCTCCTCGAGCCTCAGTTTCCACTGCTATGAAACGGGATAATTCGTGCTGCGCCTTCCCCAGGACCAGATGCGATGAGGGCGTGGGAGGCCCACGGGACTTCCAACTAGGAGGCAGGGGAAGGTTGGAAGGCCCCTAGAGACCCCAGTCAGGGACTGAAGGGGCCTGAGGGGCTAGGTGGCCGCTGCACTGGCGAACATGACAGAAACCCAGCCGGAACCAGCTGAGGCAGACAGGGCCACAGGAAAGGCCGCGTGTGGGAGGGGCAGGGGGCTTTGCTGCGGGGCT